GGAAGCAACAGTTAGAACTGGATATGGAACAACTGATTGGTTCAAAATTGGGAAAGGAGTACAAGGCTGTATATTGTCCCCATGCTTATTTAGCTTATATGCAGAATACATCATGTGGAAGGCTGGACTGCAGGAATCCCAAGCCGGAAGAAAGATCAACAACCTCCGATATGCAGATGATACCTCTCTGGTGGCAGAAAGTGAGGAGGAATTAAAGAACCTCTTAATGAGGGTGAAAGAGGAGAGGGCAAAAAATGGTCTGAACCTCAACATCAAAAAAACTAGGGTCATGGTCACTGGTCCCATCACCTCCTGGCAAATAGAAGGGGAAGATATGGAGGCAGTGACTGCTTTTACTTTCTTTGGGTCCATGATCACTGCAGATGGTGACAGCAGCCACGAAATTCAAAGACACCTGCTTCTTGGGAGGAAAGCGACAACAAACCTAGACAGCATCTTAAAATGCAGAGACATCACCTTGCCGAAAAAGGTCCGAATAGTCCAAGCTATGGTTTTTCCAGTAGTGATGTATGGAAGTGAGAGCTGGACCATAAAGAAGGCTGACCACCAAAGAATTGATGCTTTTGAATTGTGGTCTGGAGGAGACTCTTGAGAGTCCCCTGGACTGCAAGGAGAACAAACCTATCCATTTTGAAAGAAGCCAACCCTGAATGCTCACTGAAAGGACAGATCCTGAAGCTGAGGCTCTAATACTTTGGCCATCTCATGAGAAGCGAAGACTCCCTGGAAAAGACCCTGATGTTGGGAAAGTATGAAGGCAAGAGGAGAAGGGGACAACAGAGGATGAGATGGTTGGACAGTGTCATCAAAGCTATGAACATGAATCTGACCAAACTCCGGGAGGTAGTGGAAGACAGGAGGGCCTGGTGTGCTCTGGTCCATGGGGTCACAAAGAGTCGGACACGACTTAACGACATCAGTGGGGATCTGGTGAGTAAACGCCTCCGTAACTCAACAGACCTACTTTAGCTGCAACTAGGATTTCAACTACTAACTATAAGAGTGCTAACTCTTAGGTAAGTACAGTGTTACCAATTACATAGAAATAATAAATTAAATGAACTCTTCCGTAACTTTGGATAAAATCGGATCCTCCGGTACGTATCTGAAAAGCTGTACCATGTCAAAGTGGGTCCTAGAATCACGATGACCGAAGAAATCCTAACTCTCATGTAATTTGGAGGAAAAATGCACGTTACATCTCTCATGTCTCAGGAAGTGGGCTTGGCCACGAAAGCTTTCAGGTGCCGCCTCGTTTTGTTTTCTTTGTTCTTTTTTATTGTTGCTGTTATTGTGTTTTTACCGATTATGCTACTAAGTGGGATAGCCTTCCCTAGTATCTGTTATTTTCATTAATGAGCAATGACTGCACGGTTTGGATTTCTGCCACGAAACGGAGCCTATTCCGTTTCGCAAGCTTTTACTTAAAATTCTCTTACATCCGATTTCTTGCCCAGCTCACGACGGCATCCATCGCTGGAAACCGGAAGTTCGTTTTAAAAACCACGGGACTGTATCTCTTTGACTCAGAAAAGGTCACTTCACACCGGAAACTACGGAAGGCGATGAGCGCCAGCTCTCGTTGTCTTTGACCTCTGCGCCCCCTAGCGTCTCTTCTACCCGAACCGGTAGCTTGTGAAATAAGAGAGCGGACCGACCGAAGTGAGAACCTTGTGTGTTCCTTTTGCTGGGGATCCACAGTGGACAGGCGAGCTCCTCGGGTCAGTGGCTGGAAACGACCTCATTGCTGTTTCTCTTTAACCCCCCCCTCCCCGCTTTTGTATTTTTCCTTTCCTGAGAGACTACACAGGCCACGGGACGGAAACGGGCGCTGCTCCGGGAAGTCCGGGGGACCTCTCCGGTTTTTCCGCATCACCTTCTTTCACTTGTCGAGTGAAATGCCGGTTCTTCACCGCTGTGGCAGGGCCGGCACGAGGCATTTCCTTGCCTCAGGCGCGGTAGCAAATGATCACTCTTGCCCCGAATTAGGTCGCGAAGTCCCCAGACCAAGTAAAGTTATTTTTGGCAGGAAAGCTTTCAGTTTGCTCTCCCAATCTTTAGCAGCAAAGGTGCAACAATGGCAAATTGTCACCTTCCGAGGCATTGTAAATTTACCATGGCAGCTGTCTCACTCTACACCGTGGATGATCCAGCGGTGCGCTTTAGAGCCCACTGTTCCCCTAGGAGGAAAATACAAACCAGGACTTCACGCGTTCTCTCTTTGGGAGACTCTTGCTGGAGGCCATTTCAAAGCCCCGTGCCCTCTCCCCCCCACCCCCGTGTTGCCCTGTGAGGCTTTGACAGCTCTGGAATCTTCACCCAATCCTTTCTCCTGCCTGTCTTTCAGTTTTCTGATAATGGCCTGCACTATAGAGAAGATCCTCACTGATGCAAAGACCCTGCTGGAAAGGCTGAAAGACCATGACAACGCAGCAGAGTCCCTCATTGACCAGTCTACCATGCTGCACAAGAGGGTGGTGGCCATGAAAGAGGCTGGCACAGCTTTCTCACACAAGGTGGGTGAAGATCCCACAATGGCACAAACAAATTGGGGAGGTGGGGCAGTGCATTTTAGATTGCTGTGAACTTATGTGGAGCATCTCTTATTTGCAAGTACCAAGAAGATGCAGCTGAGCTGAAGGACATGTCAAAATACAAGCCTCACATTCTGCTATCTCAGGAGAACACTCAGATCCGAGACCTGCAACAGGAAAACAGAGGTGAGTGTTGGGCTAATCATAACAGCCGTGGGCCCCAAAGCAATAAGTGTCATTGTAAGGATTTAACTCCAGCACATAATCCTTCTGATTGTTCTTAGGCTTAATAGCCAGTATCCTATTTGTATGTTTCTTCATTCCAGCAGCCCCCCCCCAATTGTATTCCCAATTACACAACATGTATGAAAAATCGTGCAAACAATGTAAAAATTGGCAAGGAAAGAGGAGACTTGTGGAACAGATTTAAAACTATTTTAATCACCTTTCTATAACTGTATAACATACACTTTTAAGTGTGGCTCTAAAATGGACTGAGTGGCAGCTTTTAATTTCGTTATTTGTATCACAGTGTTGCACAATTTAGAATTAAATATATGGAATATAGGTAAAATTAAAAACAAATTAAAATTTTTAGGTAATAGACTATTTTTGACCAGCAACTGGCTACCTCAGGAGTGTTATCTCAGCCATTTGCTAGCAAAGTGTGCTGCTTATATACCGCCCCATAGTGCTTCAAGCACTCTCTGAACGGTTTTCAAGTTAATTATGCAGGCTACACATTGCCCCCCCCCCCCAGCAAGCTGGGTACTCATTTTACCGACCTCGGAAGGATAGTCAACAAGTCAACCTTGAGCCGGCTACCTGGGATTGAACCCCAGGTCGTGAGCACAGTTTTGGCTGCAGTACAGCGGTTTAACCACTGCGCCACGAGGCTCTTTTGTTAGATCTTCTTTTGTACATCTGATGGGGCATAAATTGCATGGGCATGTTTCATTGATTGAATTTCTCCACAGTCAGATCTTCTTTTGATGGGGCATAAATTGCATGGGCATAAATGTTTCATTGATTGAATTTCTCCACAGTCACAGAAAATTTCTCCTGTATCCAGGTAGCCCCATTTTACTTGATTATTCTTTGATCACTGCACTGTAAACTATTTGATTGTACTAATGGCTCATATCATTTGTATCCCAATTTTTGCATTGTCTTGTAATCAGTTGGCCTGGCTCCTCAGTAATGGCACTAATAATTAAAGTCTGACATCGTTCTAAAAGTAATCAACTTAAACTTGAATCTGACTGGGCAGTGCTGGAATATAAAGCCCCACTGGTGCAGTGATTCAGTATCTCCAATTAGTAAAAGTGTTATCCTGTAGGCATCCTTCAGTCTCGAGTATGGTAACGTGCTCTGAATAGAGGTCTTGGAGCAGCATCTAATGTGGCTGAGAAGGCCAATTCGAGAGTGACAATCCCTTCCACACGGAAGACAAATATAATCTGTCCCCTGTCCAGCTCCCTGATTTTGCTGGTTTCAGGACTACCTTTTTGCTTCGGCCTGCTGAACAAGTGTCTCTTCAGACTGGGAGAGGCCGTGCTGCACTGCCTGCCTCCAGGCTGAATGGTCAGATGTCAAGGTTTTGCATCTGTTGAGGTCCATTCCTAAGGCCTTCATATTCTGCTTGCAGATATCCTTGTATCACAGCTTTGGTCTCCACCTGGGGTGCTTTCTCTGCACTAATTCTCCATACAGGATGTCTTTCAGAATCTAGCTGACAGCCATTCTCATGACATGCCCGAGCCAACGTAGAAGTCGCTGTTTCAGTAATGTATTTGTTGTTGTTGTTTAGTTGACCCCCTGGACCAGAATACACCAGGCCCTCCTGTCTTTTCATGACCCCCTGGACCAGAATACGCCAGGCCCTCCTGTCTTCCACTGCCTCCCGGAGTTGTGTCAAATTCATGTTGGTTGCTTCGCAGACGCTGTCCAGCCATCTCATCCTCTGTCGTCCCCTTCTCCTCCTGCCTTCACACTTTCCTAACATCAGGGTCTTTTCCAGAGAGTCTTCTCTTCTCATGAGATGGCCAAAGTATTGGAGCCTCAGCTTCAGGATCTGTCCCTCCAGCGAGCACTCGGGGTTGATTTCCTTCAGAATTGATAGGTTTGTTTTCCTTGCAGTCCAGGGGACTCTCAAGAGCCTCCTCCAGCACCACAATTCAACAAGTGTGATGCTTCTGAAAGGAATAATGCTTTCAAAAGAGTGATGTATCAAGAGTTTCAAGACCATTCACTTGGTCTTACGGTGTTTTTAATAATCTATGTAGATAAGGAAAAATGCTAAGGGCTTTTGATGTGAAAGCTTAAAATAGGTTAACATCTTTTGAAATTATGCAACTTTAATATGACTGTCTCTTTCAGTGTTTTCTGTTTTTTCATGCTTCTCTGAATCCAAGATCATTTTCTTCATAATTGCAGACTGGAATGTATATTGTACCTTTCAGAGTTATGGATCTCTTTGGAAGAACACCAGGATGCTTTGGAGCTTATTATGAGCAAATATAGAAAGCACATGCTACAGCTTATGATGAAAAGAAAAGAAGTGGATGCTCAATCAATTCTGAAAGTCCACCAGTCTCAGTCTGTGGTAATGAATTTTATTAATTGTATTATATTTGAACAATCATTTCTAAAAAAACAAATTAACAATGGGAATAATGATGACACTCGAGGGAAATACTTGGTTATTATACACTGTTTCTATGGTGCTTCTTTCGACTTGTCTCTTTTATGTTTCCTTCAAAAGACTCTTCTCTAAAACACCTTCCTTCTATTAGCACCCCAGACTCAGAAGTAGCTTCTGTTTTTAAAATAAAATACAATAAATAGGTTGCAAAGCATGTTGTTCAAAATTTTCATGAAGAAAATTATTTTGTATTACCTGTAAGGCACATGAACAGTTTCTTCCCGAGTTCATTATTGCATAGTGTCAGTTTTGCAGTGCTCAAATGCAAGTGAGTGAGGAGATCCAAAAGATTTCCTAATCTACCCCCTTTTAAATATTACTGTACTGTAACTATTGCTATCCGATTGCAGCCTGAAAATTTGCCTGTCTTTTAAAACTTCAGACGCAGCAGGAAAACATGTGCCTACTTCCTGCCCTATTCCAGTGCTTGTCTATTTCTCTTGTCTCCTACAATAACCAAGAGTCTGACTTTCTGCCATAGTCAGTTAATGTAACTGGAGGAGGTACGTTAAAAAAGGTGCAGTACAATAAAATGCAGACAGGCTCTTAGAGGTCCAGTGAAGCAATCCTTGATGTCAATTAGGGAAGAATAAGGACATGATCCCTTGACCCTATATTTTTTCACTTATTTTGAAAAAGTCCGGATTAGAATACAAAAGGCAGGACATTTCTCATCAGTCAAAATTTTGCTTGGCAAAGATTTTGATTGTAAACATATAAATATTTCACTTACCTTGAAAGAGTCACTGTATGTCAATTACAACTTGACTGCATATAAAAACAGCAAGCTGTTGGCTCCCTAAAAGAAAAAACAACAACTGCAGAGTTCCAAAAACTAATCTGCTGTGGGCTCTATATGTAGAAATCTGGTATATAAACTGAAGTAATAAATAAGACACATTTTAAAAGAGAATTGAATTGATTAGGACTGTAAATATTTCTCAGTAGATGTCTCCTCTGGACATCCACTTTTTCTGACACATAACCATTTCCACTGCTACCTTGATGCACTGATTACTACCTCCCTCTGTGTATTATTTGTCTAGGGTACTTGACACACACCCCGGCCAGTTACAGTATTTGTGAATATTTTTCTAGTCTACATTTTGTAGCCTTCTGGGCACATATATCAAGTTGGTCTAGTTAGAAAGTTCACTGAAGCATAGCTCTATTACTCCATGTTCTTCTTGCTGATAATAACCCACTTAAAATGATCAGCTTTATATGGAGTGTTTTTATTTTCATTAGTCCTTTCTGCTGGAGATAATTTTGTTTTGAATTCTGTTTGCAGGAAATTGAGAGTCAGATAGACAAAATCTGTGAAATGGGAGAGGTGATGAGAACAGCCGTTCATGTAGACAATGATCAGTATTGTAAAATACAAGAAAAACTAGCACAATTGGAGGTAAGGTGCTGAATACTGGTGATGTTTTGGATGGAGGGGGCAGAAGTGTGTGCTTTACATTTGCCAAAGGTTTTTCCATCTTCTAAGATTAAACAGCTATTCTATTAAAAGCTAATGCTTGCCTGCCTTGATGAAGTCCTTCTATAGCCCTCGCTGCATCTAAGGAGGGTAAGTAGCTGGACTAAATTCACATCGTGAAAGTAGAAATTGCACTTGCTCTACATAGCTTTGCACTAAAGCCCTGAAAAGTGCAAATTGGAAGGTGTAAATACTGAAAAAATAATTGAATCTGTTCAGATGTAATAGAAGTATTCTCTAGTCTTTATGTTTATATATAAGTAAAAAGATCTGTGTATACATTTAATAATAATTATGTTTTAGAACTGTAGAGGTGGAAGGGACCCTATGAATCAGAGTCCAGCCTCTGTCAAGGAGGCCCAGGGGGGGATTGAACTCCCAACCTCTGGCTCTGCAGCCAGATATCTAAGGACAGGATGACCATTAGCTTGTATTTTCCTACAGTTGTCGCTGTATCATGCTGTTTGTTGATTTTACAGCTTGAAAATAAAGAATTGCGAAAACTACTATCAATCAGCAGAGAGTCTATTGAGATTAGACAAGAAGGACTACCTGATGAAGGATCTCAGTCCACAGAGCCAGTGCCTTTGAATAGTTATCTCTGAAACTGGTAACTGTATTGCAAAATGTTTGTATATGAATGTGTGCGTGTGTATGTGTGTGTCATGCACACTTATTTTCCACATTGTTTGGTGCCCGCCTGTCTCCCTTTGGGTATCATTCCAATCTTTTGCTATTTTGTAGACTGCTTTCTGTACAGCCGTTGAAGTGGCATTTTCTCTCAGCTAAGATTTGCCTTGTTTAAATATGCAGAAAAATATGTTCACAACGTATTTGTCAGCAAATGCTTTCTCTAGACTATACACGTATTCAGAAAACTCAATTGGATGAAGCAATTCCATCATCTTTGGCTTTTCCAATATAAACAAATACTCCAAGTCATGGCTTTTTATCTAAAACACAGTGAAACAGGGATCTTTACTTGGAGGTCTCTTGATTTAATTGGAACCTACTTCCAAGCAAGCATATTTACAATAAATTTTCATATGAGGTGTAAGTTTCATTTAGTGGGCAAAATCCTGTTGGTGAAAAGTTATGCCAGTGCTGGAAATAATTAAATGAATTGAAAGCTTCCTATGCCCATCCTTTCACGTTGTGAGGCTCCCTAGGGCTCCCTTTTGCCCTGGGGAAGTCTTGGGAGCCTTAGGGGGAGGGGGGAGGGTATGAGGAGGATGTCAGTAGCATTGGTGCTACTGTTGGTGGGCCAGCTGACCTGGCCCTGGGACCTACTGAATTCCCAATATTGAGCTCCTTAATAGACTTTGAAGTGACAGGTCTGGCGGATGCTGCATCTGGGGAACCTGGATCACAAGAACGTGGGCATGTCAAGGAGGGAACATAGATGAAAGGCCAGGAGGGAGGCACTCAGCCTAGAAGCCCGAGCCTAAGGGAGCAACCCCTACAAGAGCTGGGTGGTACCTAGGACTTGGGCAATATAAGGGAGGCATTGGTGGGAGAGGGGTATGGGATTTGGTGGAGCAGGGTGTTCAAACTGTGGACCTGCTCTCTGGCATCATCATAGAGGAGGAGGTGGAAGAGAAAAGCTCCTGGGGGTACCCTGGAGGGCTACCAAATAAAATAACTTCCCGAGGAACCCTGCTGTCACACTGTTTTGGAATATACACAAAGAGGACTCCTGGACAGGGATTGACCATACAGTTAAGGGTCAATAAGCACCTAAATCCCTGGGTGCCACTGAAGCCCTCTTACTGGGACAGTGTGAGTGACGGAAGAGAAGGTACTGCAAGGAACAGCCAGGACCCAGAGAGCCATCAGCAACCTACCGAAGATGCTGGCAGAGGCAATGTCAGTGAGCCTGCCAAAGTGAAGAGTCAGTGACCTGAGATGAGACCAGGGGGACACAGAGTTGCTGCCACTGCCTGCAGTGTGTGCATACCACCCTCTTACAACTCTGCTCTTTAAGCTCAAAGGAGTGCTACAAATGAAGGATCCCAAGAAATCTCTTCTCTCAGTGAAGGTAACTAGAGAAGACAAAAATGTGTCTAGTGGACATGGACTCTGAAACCCAGACAGTGAAGGAACTAGTTTGGGATTTGTTACTGTTATTTGGATGTTATCCCTGAACCGCTTTTAATAAACAGTTTTGTTGCAATCACCAGTGTTGTCATTTATGGAGCAAGCAATGGAGAAAGGAGTAGCCGCCAACCCCACCTGGGCTGGTAGGGCTCACTCTGGCACCCAGTGTGGAGCCTCTCCCTTAGCTCCAGGCATGACTTAACAGTGGTGGGCCTTGGTCTCAGTGTGGCAGGAACTTTTGGTTTTACATATGGTGGAGCAACAGCAGGTGTTGGTCAAGCAAGTATTGATGGCTCAGCTGCTGACCAAGAAGTTCAGCAGCTCTGCCCCAGAAGAAGGGAAAGAGAGGATGAGCATGTTTCCACATCTCTGCCTCATGGTGAGGTGTGTGGGAGCTGTAGATTACAAGCTCCACATGTCAGACTGTTATGAACAGGGGCGATCCCCCAGTTGAGGATCCCCCATAATGAGACTGATAAGCCCCTAAATCCCTGAGTGCCACTGAGGCCCTCTTACTGGGGAGAGAGTGAGCAATGGGAGAGAAACAGTGCTGCAAGGAACAGCCAGGACCTGGGGAGCCATCAGCAACCCAGCTAAGATGCTGATGAAGACAATGTCAGAGCTTTGTGGGAATCAGCAACCCCACTGCCCTCGGTGTGTGCATACCATCCATCCCTCTTACAACCCTTAAGCCCAGAAGGGCACTACAAGTGAATGTAACTAGAGAAGAAGAGAAAGAAACTTGTGTACATTGACTCTGAATCCTGAACAGTGAAGTCAAATAGTTCAGAAGTTATTATTATTTTGAATATTGTTCCTGAACCCCTTTTAATAAACTTCTTTGTTGCAATCATCAGTCTTATTTATGGAGCAAGCAATGGAGGAAGGAGCAGCCACTGATCCTGGCCAGGCCAGCAGGACTCACAGTAATAAACCTTTAATAGCCAAAAATTGCTGCTGGATCACTGGCATTCAGTCCTGATCCTTCCAGTGGTGATTTTTAAAAATGTTTTTGCTTTTTTACTATTAAAGGCTCCCCCTGCCCTCCCAAGGTTCCCAAAGTTTTCTTCAGGGCAAAAAGAAGCCCTAAGTAGCCTTGAAACCTGAAAGTGAGGTTGGGGGGAATAAGTTCCCAATACGTTGAAATCAGTTATTTCTAGTGCTGAATCTGGTTTACACTGGCATAACTTTTAAGTATTGAGCTGGCTGGATAGTTCATTGGTTTGTGTATCTGGCTGCAGAGCCCGAGGTTGGGAGTTTGATTCCCCACTGTGACTCCTACGAGTAGAGCCAGGCTATGTGGCCGTGGGTAAGCTATGTTGTCCCAGGTTATTCCCAGAAGAAGGGAATGGTAAACCACTTCTGTGTATTCTTTACCTGGAAAACTCTGAAAAGGGTCGCAGTAAGTCAGAATTCACTTCACAACAACAACAACAACAACAACAACAACAACAACAACAACAACAACAACAACAACAACAACTTATT